TTGCGCCCACAATTGTACACGGAAGCAGCTGATGACCCCCCCCGGAGCCGTGTGAGGCACTTTTTATTATGGATGGATGTGCTTTATTTCACTTCTTTTGGACTGATGAACTGCAACACCCACTGACTGCCATTAAACAGCTTGGAAGATCAAAGACAATTTTTAATATAACTCCGACTGGATTCGTCTGAAATAAGAAAGTAATATATACCTAGGATGTCTTGAGGATGAGTACTTCATGGGCTAATTTTCATTTTTGGGTGAACTAACCCTTTAATATTTTTGTGGAAATCATGTTACTTTATTTCAGAATTCTTTGATGAATCGCATAAGAGACTTCTTTCAAAAACATAAAAAAAAAATCATAATTATTTCATACTTTTGACTAGTAGTGTGCACACATTTTACATTGTTACATATCATGTCATTCATTTCGGATGCTTGTACACTAACACAAAGTATTTAATCTGCTTGTTTCCATGTTTCCATATGATTTGTAGCCTGTGGCAATCCCACCCCTTCAAAACGTGTATCTGACAGCGCCGCCACACAGCAGCGTATTGTGGGCGGGATCAATGCGGTGGAGGGGGAGTGGCCATGGCAGGTCAGCATGCATTTTTCTGGTCAGCTGTATTGCGGAGCATCGGTGCTTTCTGATGAGTGGCTCATTTCAGCAGCGCACTGTTTCAGCAAAGAAAGGTGAGGAATGTCAGGTAGACCTACAGTATAAATTGCTGAGTATCAAAGTTTAATACCTTTTTCATTGAGCTGGTCTTAATGCAGTTTGAGCATGTGTGATCTTTGACACTTTAGGTTGGCAGATCCACATATGTGGACGGCTCATCTGGGCATGCTAAACCAGAGCAGTGCCAAGCATGTGGCCGAGATCCTTCGAATTGTGGTGCATGAATACTACAGTGAGAGAAATTTTGACTATGACATCGCCCTTGTGCAGTTGAAGAAGACCTGGCCCAGCAGTCTGGAACAATATATCCAGCCTATCTGCCCGCCAGCCCCTTCACAGACCTTCACTGAGGGACATCGCTGCTGGGTCACCGGTTGGGGCTACCGTTCTGAACAGGGTAAAGAGCTCAAAAACACTGACAAATGATGTAACAATAACTTTCAAAGGTTTGGGGTTGGTAAGATTTTAAAAATATTTTTGAAAGAAGTATATCATACAAGACTGCATTTATTTGATCAAAAATACAGTAATATTGTGAAATATTATTACCATTTAAAGTAACGGTTTTCTATTTCTATATATTTTAAAATGTCATTTATGTGCCTGTGTTTTCAACAGCCATAACTTATTCAATTCAATAATTGCCTTATTTACAATTACTTAGCCAATTAAAGTTAAAAAGAACAGTGTTTATTTTAAATAGATTTGTTTTGTAAAATTATACATTTTTATAATTATTTTACTGTCATTTTTTATTTGTCTTTGCTGAATAAAATTACTAATTTCTTTGAAAAAAAAAATCTCACTAACATTTAAAAACCCAAACTTTTAAACGATAGTGTAACTAGAAAAAAAGTGTCAGTTTTTCTTGTTTAAATGTTTTTTTGTAAATCTTTTTACAATATATGGCATATAAATGGCATATTTCCCTCTGTTTATACAGATATGGTTCTACCCACTGTATTGCAGAAGTTAGCATTATAAGCCAGAGTGAATGCAAGAGAAGCTATGGCGCTGTGTCACCCCGCATGCAGTGTGCTGGTGTGCCCTCAGGAGAACAGGATGCCTGCCGGGTGAGGGGAGATAACAGGCATTGGACTGGTTCCTGCTTTATGAACCGAACATAAGCTTAGTATCTCTTTCAGAGCATTATTAAAGAACTAATCTTTATCGTTGATGAAAGTGAGCTGTCTCTCTGGATTTTTACAAAACCAATTTTTGATTCCAGGGAGACTCAGGTGGTCCTCTGTCCTGTCAAGCACACTCGGGCAGCCGCTGGTTTCTGACAGGCATTGTGAGCTGGGGTTCCGGCTGTGGCAGACCCAATCTTCCCGGAGTTTACACCAGAGTGGCCAAGTTCATAGACTGGATCCAAAGACATATTCAAAACATATGAAACAGCCAATAAATCCACCTTACAATGAATTATGTATTTCACACACTCAAAACAAGCCATTGTCATCTCAACAACTGTTCCACAGCAAATACATGTGTCTGTCAATCATGTAACACCATTATATTACATTTGTCTTGAACAATAAACGTCTTGTAGTCTTTTTTCAGCAATAATTCCTGCCAAATAAAAGACCAAAAAGTTAACTTATATTATATAGTAACTTATATTATATAGTATATATATATATATATATATATATTATATACTATATAATATAATATAATATATATGCCAACCCTGAAACAACATAAACTACCAAATTTTGCTACAAGTTTGATTGCAACATATAATCATTGCTGTTAATCGTGTTAATAGTCAATAGTGTTGATTACATCATTAACTGAATTTTACCGCCGGGTGAGGGGAGATAACAGGCATTGGACTGGTTCCTGCTTTATGAACCGAACATAAGCTTAGTATCTCTTTCAGAGCATTATTAAAGAACTAATCTTTATCGTTGATGAAAGTGAGCTGTCTCTCTGGATTTTTACAAAACCAATTTTTGATTCCAGGGAGACTCAGGTGGTCCTCTGTCCTGTCAAGCACACTCGGGCAGCCGCTGGTTTCTGACAGGCATTGTGAGCTGGGGTTCCGGCTGTGGCAGACCCAATCTTCCCGGAGTTTACACCAGAGTGGCCAAGTTCATAGACTGGATCCAAAGACATATTCAAAACGTATGAAACAGCCAATAAATCCACCTTACAATGAATTATGTATTTCACACACTCAAAACAAGCCATTGTCATCTCAACAACTGTTCCACAGCAAATACATGTGTCTGTCAATCATGTAACACCATTATATTACATTTGTCTTGAACAATAAACGTCTTCTGATAGTCACCACTGATAAGCTACTATTAAATATATTGTAGAAACTTAATTTCCTGTAAAGCTCCTTTGCAACGATTTGTATCGTGAAAAGCGCTACAAATAAACTTGAATTGAATATTAAACCTTTTTAAACTATCTAAATTATTATATATTAAAAAATGGCATATAGTACTGAAAAAAAACAGCAAACAGCAGAAACTAGCCAAGGTTGGTTTTAGCTGGTGTTCCAGCTTGGTCATAGCTGGGTTTAGAGGAGTTTTGACCACTTTTTTTATCTGGTGAGGCCAGCTTGACCATCTTAGCCAGGGGTCCGTTTCCCAAAAGCAACTATGGTCGCAAGTTCTGTCGTTACCAATAGAATTCAATGGAACTTACCTCCATAGCTAACAATGCTTTTGGGAAACGCACCCCAGGTTGGGAGACCATGCTAAAACCAGCTACTTCCAACTTAAACCAACTAACACCAGCCAACCATCTTAGGCTGGTTTTAGCTTTTTTTTCCCCAACATGGTTAATACTAAAATGTTATCATATAAAATGAATGAACTAATTATTAAATAATATTAATAGTTTCTAGTGCTGTCAAACGATTAATCACGTTTAATCGCATCCAAAATAAACGTTTTTGTTTATATAATATATGCGTGTGTACTGTGTATATTTATTATTTATATATAAATACACAACCATACATGTATATATTTTAAAAATATTTACATACATATATATATATATATATATGTGTGTGTAAATATATATATATTCATATATATTAAATATAAATATTTTATATATAAAAAAACAAATTTTTCTTAAATATACATTATGCATGTGTGTGTATTTATATATATATATATAAAAATATAACAGTACACACGCATGCATTATGTAAACAAACTTATTTTGGATGCGACTAATCGCGATTAATCGTTTGACAGCACTAAGGGGTGGGGGCGGCACCAGGGCAATTTTACGTCTCCCGTAAGCCGCGGTCTTTCAGGGCAAATTGGTATAGCTCATTGGCGCCATCTTCCGATTCAAAATTGTTAATACAACCACTAGGGGTATCTGGGCTTCTAATTTTATAAAAATGACTCGGACGACCAATAAGAGCTGGATGAGAGAGATCTTAAAAAAAGAGGTAGGCCTAGACGTTACTTTGTAGCTAAATATGGTAATTACTTTAAAAAAATGATTGATAATTATTAATAATAGTCTATATGAAGTAGTGCTCTAATATTGTTGTTACAGTGTTTGCCTTATTGCTAGAAAACATTCATTAATTCATTCATTCATGGTTTTATTATAGTAAAATTGTAGTAACCATGTTTTTTTTGGCGTATTGATTACCATTTGTATAACCACAGTTTTACTATATTAGTGTAGCAAGACCATGGTTAATTTGTGGTTACCATGTTTTTTTGGTTTTATTTGTAGTAAAACCACGGTTAATTTTGGTAAGGGCATTCATTCAATCGTTCATTCATCGGTCAAACAGCCATGTAAGTAGGAACATTATTATATGCACGAGCATAATTTATAAAATAGTCCTATATTTCTCAGATATATGAATATTACATTGAGATTTAAAAATAAAAGCACCCCATCCACATCAAGGGTGACAACACATACGGTAAATCACAAGAAGGAAAATGTCCCAGTTTGGCCCAGGAATCGTTAGTAATCAATATACAGTGTGCAGCACACGGGGATTGGGTTCACTTTGTTCTCAGGCTGCACGCCTCGGTGGCTCGTAACGTGAGACACGGGGAAACAACAGGGAAATATTTCATCCACACCGACTCCTGTTTAACAAATATTTTAGCTATGCGCTGATGTTTTTCATCCCCAGGAGACGGACCGCTGTAATGATGCATTCTTCTCCGCGATTAATTTAATGACGCTCTAATCATGTAACATCAGACTGCCCATTGTGGTCCATGGCACACGCACACCAAGGGAGAAGTTTACTCACAATTTCTGTCGCACCGATGGCTGTGTGGATTGTAAGTTACCTGCTCATAGTGCTCCCTTTGTGCCGCGGTGCATGCTGGGTGCCGTGCAGCACCTGTTCACGGAGGGACACGGAGAGTGAATGCTAGCAGCGCCAGACCCGCTCAGGTCGGGTTTCTCCGGGATCGCACTACGTCTGCGGGCTGATTTGTCTGCCCGAGGTATTGTTCTGTATCGCTGCATCGGAGCCATAAGAGAGCGGGCCATGAGGACTTTTCCCAAAATCAGAAGCTGCGAAGTTTACAGCGTCTCTGGTTTAGGAGCCTGCGCCCCCGCCGGTGCACCTGCACAGGTAGGAGACCCTCCATCAGCACCGCGCGCTCAGTCGCAGCGACTGGAGCGAATTCAATACTGTCATAATGCTTTTGAGTACTTTTGGGCTCGTTTTAATTATAATTGATTAAAATGTATTTATTCGTACTGATAAAAAAATATAATTCTATTATGTGAGGAAAACATTGTTCAAACGTAGCCTATGTATGTATGTCTGTTTTTAGTGCAATGTCTCAAACTTTGATATATTATTCCCATATTAAGTATAGCTATTAATTTGTAGCAGATAAATACGGGAATAGTATTAATTAATGTATTTTAATTTGTAGATGGTAAAGACAGGATTAATATTATTTAGTATGATTAAAATAAAATTAAAATGAGAAAATAAAATGAAAATAATGGAATTTTCTTCACCACCTCATTTTACACATTTTAAGGACACATTTTATCTTAAAGCAAATGGAAATAAAAATTAGAAATACACAAATCATATCTAATTGTAAGTTAGTCACTCAAAGTTGGTGCAAATGTAGGTCTAATCTTTGTGGGTCCAATAGAAGTACAATGGAAAGTGTTACAACCCGTCTGGTCAGCCATGATTGTATGTATTAGTTAAATTTTTTTTAAACACATAGATGAAAAGCTTTCATGTATGTTACATATCAAATTATACAAAAGAATCTACTGATTCAGATTATACATTAAATTATACTTTTTCAGAATTACCTTGTAATTTCAAAGGTCTTGTAACTTCTGCATGGTAGTCATGCATCTATGGTTCCATGAAGAACATTTAACATCTATGGACCCTTTCCATTCTTCAAAAGCTTCTTTATAGTGGAAGAAGCTTCTTTAGATTTTTTGCAATGTTCTTCACACTAAGAAAAAAATGGTTCACGCTAAGAAAAAAGAACTGTTCACTGAAAAGTTCTATGGGGAACCAAAATTGGTTCTTCAACGGAATCACAGTGAAAACCCCTTTTGGAATCTTTATTTTCAAGAGTTTCCAGTTCCTAATTGGTTAAACCGACGTGTTACAACTCACCCCGTGTTACAACACTCCCCGCTCTCTCTTATACAAACTTACAAAAGGTATTTTAAGCTCATTTCAGCAGTGATAATGAATTTAAACCTTTTAGTTTGACCACCGGGTTGCCTGTGTCTAAACGTTGGTCTTGATAGTCTCATGAATGTGCTTGTCAAAGATGGAGTGCTAACACCGCTGAGAGGGGCCGTGGGAAAGCAGACCCTCAAATTACGCTTTGTGCGACTCCACAGGTGAATCCCACTAGGATATCCTAGTTCCGCGACCCCTTCCTCCTAATGAAAAGATGTTTAGAATGATACGGCAGGAAGCCAATTAAATACGACACATAGCTTGTTGTAGGGTGACAGAAAGGTTGTGATAGTGATCATGACAAAAAGTAGTATGCTGTCTCAACAAGTGACGTTAAGGCAAAGTTTCTCAACTTGTGTTTAGGAGGACTTTGTGACGAAACCCACCCAGACGTCAAGTTCATCTAGCAGCGAGTCTGATATCAAGAGCCCGGTGGGCAAGAGAGCGGATTGCGGGGCATGGAGTAAGTGGGCGCTGAGAGCCTCCCCCTTCCTCCCTCTCTCGGCTGTCATTGCACTGACTCTCCATTTCCTTGCATGTAAGTTAAGACCCTCTGCTGTAGAGGAATGCTGAGATTATGATCTGGTATGTTCCAGTATAGCTAGTCAAGCTTCTCATCCTTGGCCGTCAAAGGAGAGTCTTCAAGGGGAGCTTGAAAATGTTCCTGTTTTGTTTGATAGGCTACACAAATACACTGAGCTGCTAGATATGTTTTTTAATTCATATGATATATGTGATCCCCAAAAGATAGTTGGACATGTCTTTGGATACTAAAGTCACACTTTAAAAATGTATGAATGTCATTGTGTTAAATATAAAAAAACTGCAAGACCTTTTGTCAGAACTAACTTATTTAATTTTGAATTTACTGTTAATTAAAGGATCCCAAAATTATTTTTAGTGGATTTAGTGTTCCAATAATTGTTAAATAACTTAAATAATGTTTAAAAGTTTGGGGTCGGTAAGATTTGTTAATGTTTTTGAAAGAAATCTCTTATGCTAACCAAATCTGCATTTATTTGATTAAAAATACAGTAAAAACAGTACTATTGTGAAATATTAGTACAAATTAAATTAACTGTTTTCTACTGTAATATATATTTTTTAAATGTAATTTATTCCTCTGATGGCAATGCTGAATTTTCAGCAGCCATTCTCCAGTCTTTTGTGTCACATGATCCTTCAGAAATCATTCTAAAATGCTGATTTTGGTTATTTCTTTTTACTGTTATCAGTGTTTAAATCAGTTGTGCTGCTTAATATTAAAAACTGTGTGTGACGAGAGGGGCGGGGCCGAGAGCCGTGGGAACGGAGCGAGGCCGGTGGAGTAATTGCTAATGCGCGACACCTGCACCACTCACCGGTCTCGAGTCTCACGGAGGAGCTCCGGAAGGATAAAAAGGAGGAGGGACGACAGTGAAAGACGAGAGAGGACCAGGCCTGGAGTTTATTTTGTGTTTTGGTTTTGTTTGTGCGCGACAGTCGTCCGCGAGGGACTGTCTCGCTATTTTGTGTTTGTTTATTTTATTATTAAAATCTTAAATGTTCGCCGGTTCCCGCCTCCTTCTTCCCGTGACTACGAACTTTGTTACATTGGTGCCGAAACCAGGGAGGAATCGCTCCGTTCCCACGGCTCTCGGCCCCGCCCCTCTCGTCACACTGTGATTCATTTTTTCCCATCTTTGATGAACAGAAAGTTTAAAAGAACATCATTTATTTGAAGTAGAAATATTTTGTAACATTATAAATCTCTTTATTGTCACTTTTGATCAATTTAATGCATTTAATGCACCCTTGCTGAACAAAATTATTAATATTAATTCTAAAAAAAAAAAAACTTACTGACCCCCAAATATTTGTAGTGTATGTATTATTTTACCATCTCAAACTTTTTTTTGTGAAATATTTTGCTTGAAAAGTATCTGTGTGCTTCTTTCTTTAAAATAAATGGCACATGATTTGATATTTTGTTATATAATTTAACAATATTCTTACATTTTAAGTGTACAGATAACTTTTGGGGCTATTGTTCATTGTGTTAATCAACATTTAAACTTTTTAAAGCATTTTAAAATGTTCTGTGTTGTCTCTGAATGTATCATCTCTTCATATGTGTGTTCCTGTTCCCGCAGACTCTCCATCGCTCTCAGTGTTTTACCTTGGAGGAAGCATCGAGTTCTCCAACCTCAGCTTCTCTCCAGACCTGGCAGACCCGTCGTCTACACAGTTCCGCCTCCAGTCTCAGGCGCTAAGCCATTACGTAAGCATAAACATACATAACAGTCTCTCTGTGCCGCCCTCGGCAACAAAGCCGGTTTCTCCGTGATCTCTCCGGAATGCTGCCGCTCTCCAGAGACCACTCAAGGAACGATGCTCGGCCCTGGCACTTTCAAACGCAAAGTCCACCAGAGCTGCAGGTCCAGTGGTGCGCTCGTCCCTCATTGTCACCCTTTTAAATGTAAAGCAGGCTCTGCTGAGTCTTTGGCCGCTCCGTGGCCCTCTTAAATGTAAAGCCAGCTGTAACCGGAGCCCGGCTCGGTGTGAGGTGGTGCGGTGAGACCGGCTCCCAGAGGACTGCGGCTTTTCAGGGCCGAGGACAAGAACGGTGTTTGTGAGAGGGACAGGGCCCAGGCAGGCTGAGTGAGAGGAAGAGCAGTCCTTCAATAAAAACATTGTCTGTGGGCTTCCTCACACACAATCAGATGCTCTGTACCTCTTTGCTGAGAGGCTGCAGGCAGCGGAGAAAAGAAAGGTAGACCAGGGGACAGAGTAGGCCAGGAGAGAGAGTGAAAGTAAGGATTTAGGGCACCGAAAAAGAGCGCAGGAAAGTCTGGGCCAAAAAAGCCAGTATCATGGGAATGGTTGGCATTTGTGTCTGCATTAGTTGCGAGATTAATAGAGGCCGATGAGGAAACTGGCCAAGTGTGGCTTTTCGTCTGGCGCGATGCTCTAATTAGCCTAAACGTAACCTGTGTCATGGCTGAAATCTGGTTTAATAGCGAGCGAATGCGATTGTGAGAAGTGACGGCCTACAAGTGTGCACCCTTGCTCATAAAACTCAGTCTAAACCCACTGCCCGCCCCTTCCATCCAGCACTTTGGGATGACATTGAGCCCCAGACAATGGCACTGTTGTTGCTCAAAGCTCTTGTTGCTCAAAGCCAATCGCACAAGAACAGCGCTTTTGTGCCAAGGCTGCAGGTCTTGCCTGGGCCACTGATGTCTCACCTTCTTCAATGATGTCACGCCTTCCGTAGCTCTGATGTCACTGAGACGTCTCAAAACACTGTTTATACCAGGCGGAAACTTCATGACCTTGGTAGATGTTATCAGTGGTTTGTTTACGGTTTTCAGAAATAGATTGAGAATGGAAATAGAATAGCGGCTGATGTTTGTCATGATAATTGCTTTTTTTTCTTATTCTTTATCACCTCTTTACTTCCTTTCGGTTGATGTGCCGTGGATCTAAGTTCTCAGAGTTGTATGATTCTTCACCATGGAGCTCGTATTACCAGCACTCAGGAATTATTGCATTTAGGTGAGTCCGTACATGAACACAAATATCACAGTATATTTATAAACTACATTAAAATTAGCCTTTTTATCCTTTCCATTTCTGTGCAAACATGCGTAACGGTTTCTGAGTGGCTTAAAAAGTGTGGCCCCATGATTTATTTATTTGTTTTCTGTTTTGCAGAGCTTAGGGCTGTTAGAAACATTTGTGGTTTCTTAGACATCTATTGCAGTGATATCTGTCAGATAGTAAGAACATTTTATGCATGGTATTTCAAAAAATGTCACTTACCACACCACTAATCAATCATCAAAAGGGATCAATAACAAATAAAAAAAGGGTCTGAATACTTTCCGTACCCACTGTGTATATATATATATATATTTGTATATACATACCATTTTTTTATTTTATACAAATAAAAAATATATTTGTTTTATTTCAGATTTATTTCAATTAACAGAAACAATTATTTATCATTTTAGTTTTAGTTACCAACAACACTGAAATTTTCTTGCAGTATCTTCAGCAGTTTGTCTTATAGTCACAGCTGTTGTTCTCTGATGCAGATGTTATGTCTGCTGGCAGTTTCAGCAGTGGTACAAGTAGCAAATCTAATGTGATTTACTTCTCTTTTATGCCAGTCCTGCTCTAATGTGGTCACTCGAGGTCATCTGCGGTTTCTCTATAGTCTGTTAGTGCTGGCACAGCATACCAATAGCCTTTATTCTCTCATCTGGTGCCATTCAATGCTATATGAAATGTGCAGAATACTGTTTGTTTTTTTCTTATAGCTTTGAATGAAGGCCTTTTTTAGGATGACCTGATCAGGCATTGTTCCACCTGATCCTGTTTAAATGTGCACCTAATAAGCTTTCATGTACAAAATTTGGGATCAGTAAGATTTTTTTTTTTTAAATAAATGAATTCATTTATTTAGCAAGGATGCATTGAATTTATCAAAAGTCGCAGTAAATACATTTATAATGTTACAAAAGATTTCTGTTTCAAATGTGACACTGAAGACTGAAGTAATGACTGCTGAAAATTCAGCTTTGCCATCACAAGAATACATATATACATAAAATATATTTAAATATATAAACAGATATTGTATTTCAGAATATTACAGTTTTTACTGAATTTTTGCATCTAAATGCAAATAAATGCCTCTTTGGTGAGCAAAGAGACTTCTTTCAAAAACGTTTAAAAATCTTACGGACACCAAACTTTTAACAGCAGTGTAGGTGTGATGCCTCATTGCAACTGTGCAAACTTAGTATTCATTTACCCAGCATCATTATTTTGGTCTGATTCTGTCATACATTTGGCACCTGTTAACATATGCATTTTTCTTCTGTAGCACATGACTGAAATTTAAAGCCCATGAACTCAAACTAAATCAGTTTTAGGTGTTTCCATCTTGTTAAAAGTCATGTGTCCTGATGACAGTGAAGGAGTGGAAGGACTTTGTGTGTACTACTGGAGTAAATTCTCTGCTCCTCCCGCTATTGCTGAGGAACTCCGGAGAGTGAACCCGTCACGGTTGCAACGGCGTCTACCTGGAACCAACAAGGTCCTTTTTAGCAGGAATGAGGAACGCTACTACATGGAGAGGGACGGGGACACACTGCGTCTGCTGGGTTAAGAGCATTTCATCCCTCTGTTTTTGTCCTTTCCAAAGTAAGGAAAACATCTTGACGTATGTTCTTGTGTCTGTAGGTTTGAATCCAGATGACGGTGGTGATGCCGAGGATGAAGATGATGAAGATTCTGATGACAAAGCGGAAAAAATAAAGAACCCAAACTCTTTACAGAGTGGCAAGTGGCAGTTGGGGCTGCAGGGTACAACCATAATACACTGTAAAGCCTGTTGAGTTTACTCACATGATTTATGAACACTGACTCCTTTGAGTTGCCAAATGTTGGTTAAACTAAGCTCTTCTGTATCCTCCATGATACATCATACAATGAGTGAAGAGAAACACAAGTAAGCCACGCGTAGGTAAGGCAATTCAAATGCAACCATGTCCCATTAATCCTCTGAGTAAACTCTGCATGCAAGTCCTTCAACCAGGCGGGTTTTTACAGTGTACTATCATACTATCATTCCGTCATGAAAACTCCCCTACAATCATTATTTTGGTTGTATTCTTGATTTATTCACTCATTTTGATCATATCTTACTCTCGTCTGTCTAACAGCCATGTCTTTTGACCTGTACGCTAAGTATGGAAACAATCGCACACTCGGTCTTGTCAGTCCGAAGAAGCCGTATTACCAGTGGAGGCTTCGGGTGCCATCCGGTCACGTCGTGCGGCTTGTCATTCTCACACTTCAAGGGGCGACACCAGGAAGCTGCTCTGCCAACAAGCTGTCTGCTTATGATTTCTTACTGCCGCTTCAGAACAAGATCATCGCCAGGTAAGTGGGACAGCACTTAGAGAAAATCCGTTTTTGTCCATTTGCATCTTTCAGTGTATTGAACACTGAACATGTTGTATACGTTTCCTGGCCTAAATTTGGTGTTATTCATTTAATTACAATACTCAGAGGGTTAGTTCACCAAAAAAATAAAAACTGTCTATCTTGGATCACAAAGAAAGATATTTTGTAGAATCTCCATCCTTTTTAATGATGGAAGCAGAAGCTGTCAAGCTCTAAAAATGGCAAAAAAACAAGCACCATAAAAGTGTTCCTTATGGCTTCATTACTACACTAATGTTCAAAAGTTTGAGGTCAGTGATATTTTGAAAATGCTTTTGAAAGAAGTCTCGCTAAGGCTGCATTTATTTGATCAAGAATACAGTAAAAACATTAATTCTGTGAAATATTATAACATTTTGTCACATGATCCTTCAGAAATCATTCTAATATGTTGATTCGATGCTCAAGAAACAGTTCTTATGATTATCAATGGTAACGAATGGACATAATTTTTCTGAACACCTCTGGTGTAGCTCTCAAATTTTATTAAATTCAAATATGTCACATCAAGACGTTGCACACCAGGTTTGATGTCAATGGCCAGACATGTGAGCACGATATGGCATGCTTTAAATCGTATACCATCACAAATGAGATTACAAATAATATAAACTTAAGGTGCTTTTCTTTCTCCAAAAGGATGTGATCCTCTCCACTCTATCCATAAATGCAGTTTTTTTTCATACTGTCAGTGTCATAGTATAGTTCCCTAAACCTCAAACAACATCTCTCTTCTTCTCAGATGGTGTGGTCTGCCAATATCAGGAACGTCCCCTGTAATGAAACTGACATCTTCTGGAAACGTCATGCTTGTCACATTTTCTTTCAGTCGTCAGAGGCATGGAGCCATCTTCAAAGCTTATTTCCAGGCTATACCCAAAACCGGTGTGTGAATTAGCAGTCAGCATGAGACGCTGTCATTATTCTGCTCAGGTATCAGAAATTCTTTGGGGTTTTTTTTCTGTAGAGTGTGGTGGTTTCCTCACTGCGTGGAACGGCACGGTGACGTCACCTTACTACCCCGCCTACTACCCTCCAAATGTGGACTGTAACTGGAAAATCAGGGTGAGCTAAGGCTAAAGGCTTTCCCATGTATCCCATGAGCCTCTTCCCCAGTGTTAGCATGCATGCACTGTGAATCCCATTCAGGGCTGGGATGCTCCCTCTTTGAGACGAGGAGCGCAGGGTGGCTTTTGTGTAAGAGTGCATCCGTTCAGAGTCTGGTTTCTCTTTTAGGCTCCGTTGCCGGGATACCTTCTCTCCGTGACCATTGTGATGCTAGACATTCAGGATTCACCCGCCTCAAGCACCTGCGAAAAAGATTGGCTGGAAATAGGCGGCGTCAAGTGAGTGTCATGTCATTCACGTATTCATGAGAATCATATCAGGTGTTTTTGCTGAACTGCTAGCATATTTGTGTGCATGTGTATGTTTTTCTTGTGCTTCCACAGACTCTGTAACCCGATTGGGGACAGCAGCAGAAAGAGGATCTACTCTTCACCTGTCCTGCTGCACTTTCACTCGGATGAGTCTTTGACCCATAAAGGTTTTTACCTGATCTACAGGGCCTTCTCTCCTGAAAGTGGTGAGTCCTTATGTGGTTTCTAGAAAAAGCATATTAAAGTTTTTTTTCTTAATTTTGTAAAGTACCTTTATTTGGGTTTTAATTTTTGTTTTGTGTCTTGAATGTGGGATATTTGTCTGTTACTGCAATGTAATGTTTCAGGGTCAAAAGTAAACAATTTAGTTGTGAAAGCTATTAGATTTGTTAGACAAACTATTATGTAACATAAAATTAAACTGTCACAAAGGGTATCTAGTTTTAAGTACATGAAATGTGTGTATCACCTTTAAAATTGTGGGTTTTGGCCAGAGGTCTAAATAAAAAAAAATAAAAAAAAAAGAATAAAATCATTCAACAATGTCATAATTTTGATAATATATTAAGTTAATTAATTGCAGTGAATTATTTTTAATTATTATCTATTTTAATTACAAAACCATAATATTTAGCTATGTCCCACATTTTGTGTGCAACCCTGTTACAGCATGTTTTTCCCTGTCACAAAAATAAATAAGTAAATAAATATATACATACATACATAAAATCCTTATAATTCCTTATAATTGTGACACATTAGAAGTAACATCTGTTTCTACCACGTGGTAGGAAGACAAATAAATAATCTCATTTAATTAGGTCAATTTATGCACTTTTTTTTTTTTTATCAATTTTTTATGAAGAATTATAAGCTAATTGAATCAGAGCACAAATGTACACTCCAGTAAGCAAAGCTCATGCTTATTCTCCCATATTAGCATGTCCGAGGCAGTTCCGCTGTGGAGATGGCAAGTGTATTCCTCTGAGGAAAGTGTGTGATGGAGAAAAAGACTGTTCTGATGGACGAGATGAGGCCAAATGCAGTAAATGCATGAGTTAAATTTCCCATACATTCTTTTCAGCCAAGCATTGTTGTCTTATTTAACCCTGTTCTACTGTTATTAGACACGTGTAAACCAGGAGAAGTTTATTGTATGGGTCAGTGCAGACCACACAGCCAGTGTAACACCGCATGTGGTGACAGCAGTGAAGAGAATAACTGTGGTAAGAATGTCTTTTTTTTTTAATCCTTAAGAAGATTCAATACTTCAGCATGCATAATTCCTCTCTTCCTGGATTCACTGATACTCAGAGGTGTCTATTTTCATTGCTGCAGACGTGTGGAGAGAGTTTGTGGTAAGACCTGCCTATGTTTTGGTGTGTTTGTGTGTGTGTGTGTGTGTGTGTGTGTGTGTATGTATTGAATATATGTGTGGTCACATTAGCGAAAATTTGCGTGCAAGAACAGGTTCATTGTCAATAGCGTAGAGATGTATAAAGCAGTCAAAGAGTCACTTTCAAATTAAGTAGCTTTCTGCTGCTCAATGAGGCGAAGTTGCTTGACTAACTTGAACATGAGCGAAATCTGCGTGGGGAACTTTTAACTCGAAACTCCCATTTGCGAATTCCTATTGAAATGACTAATTTGCCTGCGAAATTTCGCCAAGCAATGGTACATGTGACCAACAACTTTTATGTTTGTCAAGCTCTTTTTTTTGTGTGTGTGTGTTCAATTTGACCTTTTTTTAGGAGGTAAATGCTACCATATGTGCTCAAACAAAATCTGCCTCCCCAAAGCCTCAGTGTGTGATGGGATTGTGGACTGCAAAGACCGCAGCGATGAACTCAACTGCACAAGAGCATGTGAGTAAAACCCACTTTACCTAACAGTTCCGCTCTGTTTCGTCATCTTTCCATGCTTACTGGCCCAAAAACATATTTGGACAATCAAGCCACATGAATTTCAGTATGAACACATTCATAACAAACACAAATGTACAATGACACAATCAGAAAGATCATATGTCATTAATGATCATATGTCCTCTAGTTCTTTAATTTGATCAGTGATGCAGAATATTCTGTCTCTCTGATCATTGCAGTTTCAAAAGGATGCTCTCCTTCCTCCTTCAAATGTGCCAGTGGAAAGTGTTTGAGTAAGATCAACCCGGAGTGTGACGGCATTAAAGACTGCAAAGATGGTTCAGATGAGTTGCGCTGTAGTGAGCATTCTCATAGAATTACAAATGACTTCAGTTTATTATTATAGGTGGTTAGATTTTTCATGCAAGCAAGATTCTTTGCTTGCATAACAAATCCTACAAATGTCATGCTGTGCATGTAGGTTGTGGCACAAGGCCCAGGAAGAGGGCAAAGATTGTGGGTGGAACAGATGCCCAGGCAGGCTCATGGCCGTGGCAGGTCAGCCTTCAAATGGAGCGTTATGGTCATGTGTGCGGGGCATCTCTGGTGGCCAGCCGCTGGCTCGTCTCTGCAGCTCACTGCTTTCAGGACTCCGATGCAATTAAGTGAGGTTTTATTCAGGCACATGAACTTTTGTTCAAAAGTTTGGGGTCAGAATTAGATATTAGTACATTTATTCAGCAAGGACACGTTACATTGTGATACGTAATAGTAAAGATTTCTATTTCAGATAAATGCTGCTCTTTTAAACTTTTTTTATTCATCAAAGAATCCTGAAAAGAAAAGGATCATGTGACACTGAAGACTGGAGTAATGACTGCTGAAAATTCAGCTTTGGCATCACAGGAATAAATTACATTTTAAAATATATTCAGATAGAAAATAGTATTTTATTTTATTCCTTAAAGTTGTAGGCTATTTAAGCCTGTTGTCACTAGGACTCCTAAATATGTGACGCTCCAGGTATAAAGTGTTTTCTCATTTTTTGGCAGGTATTCTGATGCACGATCATGGAGGGCCTACATGGGCATGCGAGTAATGAACTCGGTCAGCAATGCAGCAGCCACCAGACAAATCCGCCGCATTGTCTTGCATTCGCAATATGACCAATTCACCTCCGACTATGACATCGCCCTTCTAGAACTAAGCGCCCCTGTCTTTTTCAATGAGTTGGTACAGCCCGTCTGTGTTCCTGCCCCCTCTCACGCCTTCACCTTCGGAACCAGCTGCTTTGTCACTGGATGGGGGGTTCTGTCGGAAGAAGGTACGGCACATTGTAGAAACTCATTCAGAACAAACAATTACTTCTTGTTGAGCTGAAGCAAAGCAACATTAGCAACACTGTCTTGAAACACATGATTCATACGATGGCTAAAGATGAGAAAAACGCATTCTAAAGAAATCATCTTTGACCACACCCACTGAAAAATCCCCAGAATCCCCATCAAAATGGCAAAGTCACACGTTAGATATGCTACCCATCATAGTTGGGTAGACTTCTAAAGTGGTGAATGGAAACTACAAGAAATATACTTATATTTGCTAGGGAGCAAAATTATTTCAAAATGATTATAAAATGCATACCTGACTAATAAGAAATGAATTTATTTTTATATTTTAAGTATTTTTATATCAGCAGAAGTGTTTTAGAAATATGTCAGATTAAACAAGCAAAATCTGTTGCAAACACCATTTCATGCTATTAAATGCATTGTTTTAAATGAAAACCTCCTGATTTCAGGTGAACTGGCCACATTGCTGCAAGAGGCCACCGTTAGCATCATCAGTCACAACACTTGTAATAAAATGTATGACGATGCTGTCACTCCCAGAATGCTTTGCGCCGGAAACATTCCGGGAGGAGTGGATGCTTGTCAGGTTAGTGTGTGCTTTTGTGTTCACTGCTTGTCAGTGTTCACCGTTCATATATTCACATCTATGTTCGCACAGGGAGACTCTGGGGGACCTTTAGTGTGTCTGGAACGGGGCCGGAGGTGGTTTCTAGCAGGCATTGTGAGCTGGGGTGAGGGCTGCGCCAGACAGAACCGGCCTGGAGTTTACACACGTGTCATAAAGTTCACAGACTGGATTCACCAGCAGACGAAAGGCCAGGTGTGACTTACGCACGCACGCATATATTTACACCAGAGAATGGGTTATCGGCCCACACTCAGTTGCATGTGATCGAGGTGCACCGGCCCAGCTCTCATGGTGCCCAGACACATAGCAAACCTCAACACCTCTGCATCGGAAGCAATTTCCCATCAATTCTTCTTGCTCAGCGTTTGAAACTTCTACCCACAGTCTGCCAGCAGCTTCACTCCCCTCTGTATTCTTTATGCCCCAAAGTCATAAGAACCACCTACAAACCAACTGTACTCTATAAAGCCTCGACAGTGGACTACTAGTGTAGAGATTGAGGAGATTATTTGCAGTGGAAAGAGTTCTCTTGGTAAGATTTGTGTTATTTGCTTACAGTGGCTAAATATTAGTTTTCATTCATTTATTCATGTTAATGGAATCATTTTTATATTTTCATCGTTTAAGAATGATATAAACCCTCCACTTCATGGTCCGTTTCAAATATGTCCAACTGTGAAATTGATTGCATGTCTGAAATTATGACCAACATGATTTTTAGTCATTATTGTTACTGTTTTGTACGTTTTTATTGGGTTTTTGTTATCACAAATGATTATTGGCTTCTCCTTCATTGGGAGAAAGCAGTGGCAGCCCCTAAGACTCTCTCTACTGGTCGTGATTTGACATTACATCTTACTCAGTACTTCTTTAGTTACCCACACATTATGATCTGTATACCCGAAAACCAGATGTAAATGTCAAAACTGAGCAAATGTTGATACTTTATATTAGGTATATGAAAAATAGAGCTATATTAAAAAGAGGTGCTACATTACTTCCACTCTGTGATTTTTTTTTAATGTATTTGCATGCATGTTTCAATTAAGTGCAATGCCTGAATGTTTCTTACTTGTTTCTTTCTGAGTTAATGTGAATATAATCATTGTTATATATATGTAATATGGTACGAAAACTCACAAATGAGTCTCAATTGTTTCTCCTAGACAGCCATAAGATTAATTGCTCAAATTGAATTTTTTCTCTTTTTCAAGAGCCTTTTCTTCTGAGAAAAATACTGAATTATTCTCTCCTTCCCCTGAGATTTTCAAGAGATCTTGCCAATGTTTCATCTTGACAACTGTGCTCAAATTTTCACATTGATTTAAAATGAGAGATTTCAATGTTCTTAAACATTTCTCATCAGATTCTGAGCTATACTATCCACATGAATTGACTCTTTGTGTATGACATCAGTTTTCTCATTTGTGTCCATTTTTATTTCTCCTGCGGAATTTTAGGAGAAACATCTGAGACAAAGTTTATACTTCAAAGAAATATAACTGAGATAAATGATATAATTCAAATTTCCTCTGTTCTTTTCTGTTAATTACTGACTTTTCTATTCATTTTGATTAACTTCAAATATTTTGCATTGTTAATGTTCAAGCTGCACAACCAAAATTTCCCTTGATCTTCACTAGTATCTCTTTTTCCTCACTCCTAGTCTTTCTGAAAGAAACCTCAGTTGTTTCCCCTCATGGATTTACTCCTCTTTTAAGGATTGCAAGGGTGGGATGACTTCAGACAGTGTTGGATTTACAGCAATAAGCTTGTTTATTCATGATATGATTGAAGAAGTGGAGGAGAGACACAGGAGCGGTGCAGTACATCGGGCCCTTGTAGGTCACGTCAGTCGCGCGGGATGGGTGTGTCGATGAGCGTCACGGAAGCTCCGGTGGCAGTGGGAAATGAATAAATCCCAGCCCGCGGTCATAATGGGCAAGAGTTTAACTGGAATTCATGCGTGGTCCTCCTGCTTCAAGAGTTCATATACTCCGGACGATACCGAGGTTGATTGTAGTTCATGTGAAAGCAAGGTTTGAGGAGTTTGGTGTTGTAAGGTGAATTGATTCTCTGGAGTATTGGATCTGCAGTCTTTCCTTTATAGGTGTTCATCTCCAAGCAAAGGACCTCAAGCAAGACCAAGAGAATGTTCGATATATTATTTGTGATGATATTTGGATTGTCAGGGCGTGTTCTGACTAAAGGTAAATTGCACTTTATTTGTATCATAGAATATCAGTTTTCATTCGTGTGAGTGTGGCTCAGTCCCAGCGCATCATTTGCATTTCATGATGAGAAGACATCCATTAACTTTGGATGAACATATTAACTTGTTCGCGTTTTTTATATATATTTTGGTATTCATGCCCAATTGGTAATAATGCGCACTGCAGAAAAGCAAAATTACGCGCTAAACGAACGTAAATTACGCGCCAGATGTGCTACAATTTGTTTTTCCAAGACTGTGGCAAGCCTGTTTAACATTTACATAGATAATTTAAAACGAACTATTATATATTTTTGTTACTATTAGCATATTCGTTTTTATTACTAGAAATGAATCAAACTATGCGACTAATAGATTATCTATACAATTAATCACTATAGTCTGATCGACTTGTCTGAAAAGTATGGTTGATAACTCCTATCCTATAAAATTTGATTGCAAAAAATTACACATTGTTACAGAAAAAAATAAATAGTTACTTGTAACTAGTGATTAGGAATGCTATAATCTAACGACCTGGTAATACTATTTAATGAAGTAGTGCAATTGAAAAGAATCAGAATGAGCTTTATTGGCAAGAATATTTATAACACAAGGAAATTCTTTTGGTGACAGAAACTTCCAGTGCTCACAAATAAATAAAATAAAAATCAAGGCGGCACAGATGATATTAATAAAACAAAAGTAAGAAGAAAATATACAATAAAAATGCATATAATAATTCACTACAGACAAAATAAGTTATGTGGACGATAGACAAAATGCGTACAGTTACAGAGATACAATAATGTACAACTGTAATTGTTTATTAATAATAAAAATAAGTACTAATATAAAAACAGACATTAGTTTTAAGAAATAAATGCTAAATCGGCCTGCCATAGCAGGACAAGTTGTTTTGATAGTAGAGACCTCTCTGCTCTTACTTGACATCCGTCTTTAATGTTTGGCCCTGGTTGAATCAGAGAGGGCGTTATTTCCTGAGCCTGATGACTGTGAAATGGAAGTTCTAATATAAATGACTTCGGGGTCATGACCACCGTGAGGCAGGAACCAGCGCTAATCAGAGTGTTATAGCTAAAACAGACCCAAGGGGGAGGATGCAGGGGTGAAGTGATGTACTGTCCGCAGTGCGTGATGATTAGTGCTTTATGGTTAACAAGTCACCACTCACATCACAGGATGGAAAATCTTAAAATTGATTAAAGGCCAAACGTGTTTTAAGCATATGTGCATCTGCGTGCTCAAAAGCATACAGTTATGTGGGGAAAATTATTTGTAAAATTAATTAGGATGCTGGATTTTAGAAAGATTCCTAAAAATGATAGGCTACAGACTAGGCTAAATGCACTTATAAAACAAGTTCACTGTTAAAAATTAACAAAACTAGGCAAATTCATTATTTAAAAATTAAATAAATGCATTTATGCAAATATTAATTATAATAATAAGTGCTTTTTTAAATGCGCTGTTTTCGTTTAGTTCATTTGCAGCACCTTATGGGTTCAGCGAAGAACCTTCTTATCAAAAAAAGTTTCCTTGTAGTTCTTGGATTGACTTTATTGTTCTTGGAGATCAATGTTAAGCACTAGTGCACAGATGGCTTCTGAAGAACGAAAGAATACAAATATCTTTGTAGAGCTTTAAAATGTTTCCTCGGTCCTACTTTAATCATTTAGAATAGCACGTACATGACATAGACTGCGAATTTTTTTAATGTTTAATAGTTTCCCAGTGGGTGTAGTTTTACAAAAATTTTACAAAGCAGTCTTTATAGCTATTGTATTTTTGTTTTCTTTTTGGGATACTTAAGTTGACACAAATGAAAGACTGAAGAATTAAATGAATAAGCGCAACAATTACGTAAATGCGTAGTTGATTTCAGTCATTTCAGGGAATTTTCTAACCAAAAAATCATTTTAAAGCGCGTGCAACATCCATTTCTTGTTTTTATGTTCAACATTTTACATTCAGCGCATGTTCTTGAAAATGTATTTCCTATAGGCTACGTGCTTCGCTTCGCTTTAAACTTTAACCTTGTTTCCTCTGGTTCATTAGCGTTTATTCAGTTGAAATCGGCAGGTTTTTGTCCTGTCATTAGTGCCAGGCGCTCTTGTTGAGAGTTTCTGAAACGGAACCTCAGCGTGTGGACCGGCTGATAACGAACCTGTCTGGATCCCATGCGGGACTCGCTGTGGGAAAAAGTGCTTGACTCCTACTTCCCTTTTTCATTGGTCTAACTACAATACCTTTTTAATGTATAGACGGTACATGGCCTGCGCATAGAGTGTGAATAATGGAAAGGAAATGATGCTGTTAGCTTTTTAAAAGCAATAAACAATAGTGAGAGCGGTCTGTATTGTATAGCTAGTCACGTCTGCATGGAGACAAAATATTTAAAATCATATTGAATTATGTGCCACCTTAACCCACAATTAAGTGTTTTTTCTAAGCAACAAAAAGAGCTGAAAAACAAGTATGCAAACACTGTTTTTATTTAGTGTATTTGTGCTTACAATAGGCTACATGTGATTCTGCATATTAAATAGGCTATTAATGTCACAGCATCACGCGGATATGGTAAATCATTTTATAGGCCTGTTATTCAGTACAAAATACCAAGTCGTTATGTTCATTTTATGTTCCACTGGGCATGCTGTCTTATTAATCAGATAAATACAATTACATTTATGCATGTATTTACGTATATATAATAAGGTTTAAAATATATATATATAAAAAAAATAAAAATAAATCATTTAAAACAAGTGTTGCACTTGCTCAGAATCTGACATTTTTATAAAAGATAAGAAAATATCTATATCTAATAAAAGAACTGGATGTATTTTTTTTTATTATTAGTAATATTTTTAAACTTTGTTTTACACCACACAGTAATGTGATGTTTTCTGATGATTTTTATTCAATTAAACTATGTAATGTACAAACATTGCCTTGTAAAGATCCTCAAGTACCTCTGAACAATACAATACTCAACTGCCCCTCAGTAACAGCCTTGAAAAAGCAGTGCTGTGCTCAGAGACACCTAAAATATAACTGTCAGTATTAGCAGGAACTGTGGGTCTGTTTCTATAGCTTTGGGCAGCATAGTCATATTTGATGTAAGTTGGACTATCACTCTTATCACCTGAATGTGGTTAATTTCACTCTTTAAAGCTTCACAACTTCTTATTCAGCAACCTCTAACATGCCTTTCTGCTTTCTGTCTTAAAGACACAGACACAAAAGGGAGGTTCAGTTCTCCAGTGTTGGATGTTACTGAAAAGCAGCTTATTATAGAGAGAAATCAGACACTTCAGCTAAACTGCAGGTGAGTGATGTGTCACACAATCTCACGGTTAAAGGAGGAGGAAGTGGTTAAAAGTGGATCATGAAGTTTTGGATGAGTCATGTATGGCTTTATGATTAACAGAGGCGATACAGATTTTGGTCAGGAGGAATGTAGAAATACTAAGTAAAAGTTTGTAGTGAGAGATTGTAAAATGCAAGCATAAAAGATGAGAATGAGCCATGCAGAGTCAAGTCAAGTCACCTTTATTTGTATAGCGCTGTATACAATACAGATTGTTTCAAACCAGCTTTACAGTGGCAAAGAGGAAAATAGTTTGTCATTAATGCTAGAGGACAATAACAAACAGTCATTTTTCAAGTTAAAGTCAGTTCATTGATGATTCAGTGATGTCATCATCCAGTTCAGCTCTCTTCCAATGGTGTCTGTGCAATCAGTCA